TTTATTGTATGCTGCTCAGAGTCACGTTCTATGAGATGGGCAGCTCTAGACCCATGACTTATTTATTTATAAATAAATAAATAAATAAATAAATAAATAAATAACACACAATTCGATTAGTTGTTGATAATGGGGAACTTGCCTTCGGGATGCATATGATCCATTTCTATTTTCAGTTGTTCTTATTTTTTTGTTATATAGAAAGCCTCCCAGAATCGTTTGGAGTTGGGCAGCCTGTACATTGTCTTAAATAAATAAATAACAATAACAATAACAATCATTCCTTTAACTAAGCCTTTGCCCAGCACCATTTCCTTTCCCTACCTTCTTTGGCACTTAGTATGAATATATTTATGCTATGTGAGCAATGTGAAAGTTCTTCTAAAAGCCAGTTATTGACTAAAAAGTCAATGCATTGACATAGCTCTTTTCCAATTTCCTCTTAGACACAAGCACAGTAGCCTGCATTTAGGCACCTATATGAATCACAACTGCCTATACTGGCAGAGATGTATAATTTTTTTTTTAAGCTACGAGATGTACTTAGCCTTTGGTAGGCAAGAGAGCACATTCCAAATAGTGTAAAATGCTGGGTCAAAAGCTGATTTTGTTTTGATCTGAATTGCAACCTAATTAAGTACAGGTTGCAAATCTTGAGTGAGCTTTCCATTCTGGCCCTTTAAAAATTACTATCGAGCTACTACTTTGGGTAGGTTTTGGGGCCCAACCCAACTTTGGAAGCGAAGCACAGGTTGCTTGCCTCTTCTTTAAATAGTCTTTCTGTCTCATCCAGCAGCACTTAGAGTAGATCTGACATTTGAAACTCTCTCTTTTACACAACAGTGGTTTTCTTTCTAGGCTGTCAGATACGATGCACTGTTTTGTTATTTTTCTCCACTATTCAGACACTCACACAATTTTATTTAAAGTCAACCCAATCACACTTCTTCAATTTCAGTTTATTTCTGCCGTGTCTCTGATGTTTGGTGAAGCTGCCACCCAAAAAGTGGGGGAAGGAAATATTCCCAGCTCTCATCAGCTGGAGTACTGAGAATTTCATTTATTAAATTTACAGACATAGACCAAAAGAAGGAATGCTGAGAAACTCACAAATACCTGATGTGGCACTCCTCAAAACAGTCTGAATAGTGTAGCGTTTTTTGTTCTCCTCCAATAGCTTAGATGGAAACTACGCTGGATATCTTAATTAATTTGTTTTAAAAAAAGCCATGCAACTCATTTAGAAAAAGATTCCCTCATTTTTTAGTCCAATCAAATAACTTTATTACAGCCATAGGCCAGAAAACAGAGATATAACATGTGAAAAATAAGTTTCCTTTTCCATTCTGCAAGGTAATACAGAGGAAATAGGACTTAAGGACCTTCCTAACTACAATGACATAAAACTGCTGCACCCAGCCCCTTACCACCTTCCTCCCCTTGGTCTAGAACAGCCTTCTCCAACCTCAGCTGACATTCTGTTTTATCCCTGCTTCTTCCCCTCCTTCCCCTGTAGGCCCTCTAGAGAAACCAAGATGGTGGGGTCAACTGCTCCTTTGCTTTGCAAAAGATTCAAACTCCTTGTAAAGTTCAATGAGAAAGAGAGAGAGAAAAAAATAGTATTTTGACCTGGTAAAGTTGTGAAGGGGGGAGAAGAAACAAAAAAAGCTAAGAATGCACACCCACGGGAAGGGAAAGAGAAATAACATGGGGTGGAAAACTAGGCAATCAGAAGCTAAAAGATGAAGCACCTAAAAATGTGCAAGGAGGCAAAGAGCATCTTGCCCAGAGCTTCCTCAGCTCTGGCAGCATAAATAGTGCTAATTTTCTGGAGTACACCTTGCTAAGCCTAAGGGAACTAGTTTCTACATGCTTCAGCACAGTGTTCAGTCTGTCTCAAAAGATCACACATCTCTATTCATTGCAGTCAGAGTCGGATAAAACTCTCTGTTCCTTCCACCTTGTGCCAGATGAACCTAGAACAGAAGCCAAAAACTGATGGGATTAGTTGAGTTTAAATAGGACCAGACCTGTCTCCTACTCCAAGGAAAAGGAGCTCCAAAAAAGCATGTGATGTACACAAATAGGATGACCTCACGCATCCAAGAAGGAAGGGAGCGGGAAGACAAACATCACTGGATGAACAATAAGAATCATCCTGAGTGTTTTTTAAAAAGTTAGTTTTGGATTCATTTAGTGATTTTAAAATAAGAGGACTATACAGGAAAATTCAGACACTGCAATACAGATGTTAAGAGTAAGATTTAAAACTGGTGTGAGATCCTATCAATTGGATGCCAGGCATTATTCAATCTACCTGAGTTATGGCTATTCAGCCTCTGCTTAAATATCTGCCACCTACCGTCGGAGGTCAAATACATTCTTGTTGCATTACACTTTATTTAAACAAGTCCA